GTCACATGCCCATGTCCACATGCAGATACACACACCTACACATAGTTTCCAAGGATAAAAACGGGGGCTGGAAAGATGGCTCAGCAGCTAAGAGCACTGCCTACTCTTCCAGAGGACCAAGGTTCAATTCTCAGCACCCACTTGGTAGGTCACAAACGTCTTTAACTCCAGTTCCAGGGGATCCAATTACCTCTTCTGGCTTCCTCAGGCACCAGGTACAGACGTCATACACAGACAAACATGCAGGCAAAATACCCATGTACATATAATAATTTTTTTAGTTAAAAATAATAAATAAAAATGAACAGTGAAAGCACAACTGGCTTTTTACTTGGGTGCTGGGGATTTGAACTCATTTTCTTGCTAATAAGGTGTCTTGGTTAGGGTTCTATTGCTGTGAAGAGACACCATGACCGTGGCAACTCTTATAAAGGAAAAATATTTAATTGGGGTGAATGGCTTACATTTTCAGAGGTTTAGTCCATTATATTCATGGTTCGACATGGGCATGCAGATAGACATGGTGTTGGCTACATCTTGATATGCAAGCAACAGGAAGTGGACAGAAACACTGGGTATATCTTGAGCATACATGAGATCTCAAAGCCGTCCTCCACAGTGACACACTGCCTCCAACGAGACCACACTACTCCAACAAGGTCATATCTCCCAATAATGCCGCTCTCTTTGGGGGCCTTTTTCTTTTTGAACAACCACATTTGGCAAGCACTCTTACCACTGAGCCATCTCTTCAGCCCTTGGTTTTGTTTTCTTCAGATAAGATCTTATGTAGCCCAGGCTGGCCTTGACCTTCTGACCCTCTTGCCTCTACCTCCCCTCCCAGGTGCTGGGTTTATAGGCATGCACCAAACCTGGGCTTCACAGCAAATTTTAAGGAACTCTTACAAGTACTTCCAAAATTGTCAACCAGTAATATTAGTTAAGGAGGCACTATCTGCTCCAGCACCCAAGGCCAAAACTGTACAACAGTTCAAGAAGGATAGATGTTACGGGGAGTTTGTACCTAAAAGCCATCGAGTTGCTGTTAATTAGCAAGTGGCCACTTGTGATTTCCAAGCCACTGGTTCTTTTTGAGATAAGGTTTTCCTAGGCAATCCTGGAACTCATTATATAGATTAAGCTGCCTTCAAGCTCACACCAGTCCCCTGCTGCCATCTCCCAAGTGCTGGGGTTGCAGGGCTGTGCCACCACACCTAACTCAAGGTCCTGTTTTTGGATTAATCAAATGAGAAGAAGAGGGGAAGGGGGAAGACCAAGAAGCCACTCTATTTCTGGAAGTAGCACAGATGACTTCTGCTCACACTCCAATGGCAAGAAACAGTAAATTCCCTTCCAGCCCAGAGTTCTGAGAATCGTCCAGCTGTGAACCTAGGAGCCAAATTTGTGAGGACACAGCCAGTCTCTGCCAAGTCTGCCGTCACAGTCGGTTCCTTTATCGTTGCATTCACATTTCACCGATCAATGTCAATTCGAAGATTGAGAAAGTCTGATTTATGTAATATATGGCCAAGTTACATAATGGCAGTATAAGAACATTTCCAAGTCTGGAGACAAAAGCAGCTTGGTGAGCACAACTCCGGGAAAGATGTAAACAGCTCTGGAGAGCAGCCAGTCTCGGGTGGTTCCTGTACCACGGACATCATTCCAGGGGATCTATTGGAGGCCATCTGAGTTAGTGACTCATTACTGGGCATCAGGCACTTTCTACTGTTTTTATTTTGTAGAGTTGTACTGTTAAGATAATCCACACAAGGATCTTTGTCCAGAATATACCAGTAGGCAATATCAGGACTGTTTGTTACTGCCAGTCCATCCTGACTATTTGTTTGGGGTGGGGGATGGCTGTCCTGCTGCCCTGTGCATCGTAGGATGCTCAGCAGCCTCTCTGCCTTCTACCTATTCCATGTCAGTGGTAGGCTTCTACATATGACAGCCAAAAGCCAGTAATGTCCCTAAACAGGGCCATGTAGACTTCTAATCAATCATCTCTCTCTGTGTGTACATGGTATGTAGAGATATATGTGTGTGCACAGTTGCATATGTATGTGTGTGTGTGTGTGTGTGTGTGTGTGTGTGTGTGTGTGTGTTTGGGTACACTTGCCCAAGCATATTTGGAGGTCAGAGGTGGTGATAGGTGTCTTCCTCCATTGTTGCCCATCTTACTTGTTTGAGTAGAGTCCCTCACTGGACCTGGAGCTCACCATTTTGGTTAGACTGGCGGCATTCAAGACCCTGGGATCTGACTCTCTCTATCTGTGCCCTCCCACTGCTAGAGTACAGACCTGGCTTTTGCATGGATCCTGGGCATCTGAACTCAGGTCTTCATGCTTGCTCAGCAAGCACTTTACCCACTGAGCCATCTCCCCAGCACGGAGATCCATGTTTCTTATGGTGCCAGACACTTAGTCATAATTGTTATCTTTATTTCCTTCTCTGCATCTCCCCATCTCCATATTCCACTCAGCCTTCCTTGGCCTCATCCATTTTCCTTGAAATTGGGAAATGAAGTTAATAATAGTCTGAATTCATGAGGCATTCTGCCATGTTTTTTTTTTGATTGCTCATATTTGAGAGATTAAAAGTAAGATTGCCCCCTGACAATTTAAGAAGAAAAACTCACGTACAGTGAAGGCAGAATGTTCTCTGGAAAATGTGACTGAAGAGCTTGATACTGCCTTGGGCTTTCATTTGGATAAACTGAATGCAATTTCAGGTAGATCTATATCTGTCTGAAGAAAGATGGACAGAAAGAGAGACGAAGCTAGGCTAGGTTTGGGTTTTTTGTAAAGTACCAAAGGAAACAGCCAGGAACCAGTAAAAATGCCTTGGTGCACCAATTAAAAAAAAAAAAAGTATGCCCTACACCCACTTACTTAGGAGCGTGTGTTTTAAGAAAAGGAATTAAAATATAATAGGTACTAGAAGCTGAGCACAATGGACATAATTTAATCCCAACACCCTGGAGGTAGAGGTGGGAGGGTAGTGAGATCGAGACCAGCCTGGATTACACAGTAAGACACTGTCTCAGAAAACCCCAAACACTTATATGTAACATACATACATATGTGCATACATACATACATACATACATACATACATACATACATACATACAACCTAGTATAGTGAATACTGTACATTGCCTTCCAAAACCTTGCTATTAAGTTATATTTCCTGAAAGGTTCAGGCATTATGCTGGCCTGCCCCTGTTACCTGGTGGAACAGGCAGTACCCTGGTCAGCCCAAGGTTCATTGGGAACTAAGTCTGCACGCAGGTGCAGAGGACCCCTTTAAAAGACAAGTCCCTGCCCATTTACGCTCTCTGTTTCCTCTCTCTGTTTCCCCCCCCTTTTTCCTCTCCGCCTCCTTTCTTCTCTCTCTCTCTCTATGGTGACCGGCCATGGCGGCCAGCCATTTACCCCTGTTCCTCTTCTTAGTTTCCCCATTCTGCCGGGCCTTATAATAAACTTATAGTCAATATGTCTCATGTCTCAGCATTTCTCTTTTCTTCTTTTTAAACAAAACAATAACATTTCCACTCATAACAAGGATATATGTGTGAACCGGGCATGGTGATACATGATGAAAATCCCAGCACTCAGGCTGCCACACGTGCTGGTTTCAGTATTTGTCATTTGATTAAAATAATTAAATTGTTTATTTATTATACTTATTGTGTGTGTGCACATGTGTGGCCAGGGAACTTTCAGGAGCTGGTTCTCTCCTTCCACTCTGTGGGTCCCCAGGGATTGAGCTTAGCTCATCAGCCTTGTAGTAGGCACCACCTTTTCCCACTGAGACACCCCACCAGCCACTTGTTTTGTTTTTGTTGTTGTTCTTTTATAATGTCTTTTTCCAAAAAGAAGTTTAGTACCTCTATACCATAAAATCTGATAACCTCTACTTTATTATTTCTTATATTTATGATTGAACCCTCCCTATTTCAATGTTATTTTCTTACACTGCTTTGATGTTTGGGGGATTTTTTTCCTCCCTATATAGTTGGCTCTATAATTCACTTGGAATTAGAAGAATAAGTCATGTGCTATTTTATTTTTAAATTGACCTTTATTATCTTTATTGTTTGATGGTGATATTACACTTTCCATTATCATTGACACAATAATTGTATATATTTATGGGGTCCGGGATATTTTGGTACACAAAGACAATATATATTTGGCAAATAGGGTAATTAGCATACCCATCAATTGTAGTGCTCATCATTGGGAATATCTAGAATCGTTTAATTATTTTGAAATAAACAATAAATCATTGTATTTATCTGTATCAGTCTACTGTAGAAGGCTAGAACTTGGTTTTGCAGTTCTAGGCAAAGAGCCCGGGCTTCTGTCACACAAGGTAAACACTCCATCACTGAGCTACATCCTTTCTCCCCTTTTAGCCATCTGGTCTCAACCCCCCTCCCGTCTTTCCTTCCCAGCCTCTGCTAATCACTCTTCTAACCTCTGTTTCTGTGAAATCAGCCTCTGTAAGAGTCCACCATTACCAATCAAGCATGTGCTGTTTGTCTTCTCTTGACCACCTCATCTCAAGTCATACATTATCCTCCAGACCTGTGCGTACTGCCGCCAATGACAGGATATTTTGGTACACAAAGACAGTATCTATTTGGCAAATAGGGTCGTTAGCATACCCATCGATTGTAGTGTTCAACTTTGGGAATATCTAGAATCTTCGAATCATTTTGAAATATACAACAAATCCTGTTTAAAGCTGAATAGTATCCCATCACGTGTTCATTTCTTTATGCACTCATTGACTGGCAAACCCGTAGGTTGTCTTGGCTGCTATGGATAGTACCACAGTACACTTGAGAACACAGTCATCTTCTGTGCCCCTTGGTGGGACTGTTGATCACAATGCCATACCATTTTAGTTCTGGAGCTTTAGAGTAGCTTTTAAGGGCTTCTG